GAACGGAGGTGTCCTCAATTTCCCCCCCCCCCCCCCTTCTTTCTCGCTCCTCACGCACACCTGGGCCCACCTTTCATTATTTCTTTTGTTTTCCTTCCTCCCCTCCCTTCTTCTTCGCGTTATCGCAACGTCCCGGATGGAAGAAACGCCGAATTAGCTTCCTCGCGGAGGATCGCGACCTCCCGTGACCTCATGATCCGGACGCCCCGCGTAACTGACGGACCTGGCTTCCTGGCAGACGACGACACTGGCGCCAGCCGCTACGACTACGACGAGGTGTGAAGGAGGCCTACGTCAAGCACCGCAGGGAGCTACAGCTGCTTTTTGACAACTGGCCCAGCAACGGCCACCACGCTGCCACCGTCTCCTTCACTGGAAAGAACGTTTCCAGATGGGATGGATGAGAATAACGATCGGGCGAACGAATGAGAAGTTGACAGGGGACGGGGACCAGCAAGGGTGAGATCATCGGGACGGATGGATTACCTAGTAGTCAGACGTCAGTCTCGATGCTCATGCAGGCTGGATTGATATTGTTATTGTGGCGTGGGTTGCAATTGGACTTCTTAGTGATCTCTGGATGAGTGAACAGGGCACCCTCCTCCAGCTCCATTATGTCCGACGAGGACTCCGACATCGAGACCTTCTTCAGTCCTGTGGGATACACACGTATACACACACAGACACATGGAGACACACCCGTTCCCAATGTCAATGTCTCGCCCGGAGTAAGTTCCGTTCGACTCTGTGAGAACCGATCGATTTCTTCCCCGACAAGAGCACACGTACCTAAGGTGCCAGGAAGATACGGACAGCTAGTCACGTGATTGAAATTCTGCGACTGCATTTCTTCCTGGTCAGTCTCACGATGATAGAAGTAGTTGAAATTGGAGACGATTACGGGGACGGGCAGAGCGATCGTCAGGACGCCGGCGATCGCGCACAACGAGCCCACGATCTTCCCCCAGACTCCCACGGGCCTGCAACACAATCGGTAAGGCCGACGCGTTACATCACCGTGGGTCTTCCGCCGCGTACGATCGCGTACGGGAATAGCTCGCAAATCTCAAACTCGGTGCTAGGTGTGGTGTTTCTATCATGTGTGAGTCTGCCGAGTCTGTGTCGAAAGTGTGGCGCTACTTATGCGGTACTGGAGGCTCCTATAGATATATATATTTTATACAAAAATATATATATATATATTTATATATTTATATATATATATACATGTATGTATATATTATATATACATAACGGTCACCGACGTGCGTTGGCGGAATGCTACGAGCGAGGCCTCCCCGTCATCGGTAAGTTAGCTAAGTCTCTCTCTCACACACACACTCTCCTCGATACATCTAGCATTGACATTCGCTGGACTCGTGGTGGTAGTCAATGACTGACGAAATAAGGCATTCCGCCCGATCGGTCACAGACCTGAGACCAGCTACCTGCTTGGCGCGTTCCGAAGTGACTTTGACCATTCCGACTCCGCATTCGGCCAACGCTGCGCGATTTCAATTTCAATCTCATTCCTGACCGTATAAATAAGTTATATAGCGTGAGAAAAAGCTAGACGCGTGTCTAGTATAAGCGGGCGCTTCTAGGCTAGACTAAGGGACTAACGTAAGGACTCGCTAAAAAAATGGCTTCTTCGGTAACGTGCCGCTAATGCCTTGCGCGCTCAGTGGGAAAGCACGTGGTGCCCGGCGGAAACGAGACGCGATCACGTGTCGTTTAACGCACAGCAAGTCGGTAAGTTTACACACCATCGACTCGTCCTCGCGATCTATCGATCCGGGCGACGGGAGCGAATTTTAGTTAGTAGTATTGATGATGCACGGTGGGAGCGGAGAGGTACTTGACCGAATTGATGCTTGAAGTTCTCGCGAAAAGCACAAGTGACAATCTTGAGAGTGCCGTTCTTCGAGTCTGCAGACGTCCGCAGAATCCGGAATAATTATTCGTCGTGAGAAAGAAACCGAAGGAGAAATTACGACGTCATTACCTCCGCCGGTCTTGATTAAAGTAGCGCTATGCTTCTGAAATATTCGACGTTCCGTTGTCGTTGGAAAACGGCGGGAATTACGGCTAAAATTGTTTCCCGAGTGAAATCCGATTATCGAAATCGTGCGAAATGTCACGACGCTAATTATTCTCAGGAGGAAACCGAAAGGTACGCATCCTCCTCTCTCTCTCTCTCTCCCTTAGTTGAGGAATAAATTAATTCGGTCAAGTTCTTCCCCGTTCTTGAGCCGACATTTACGATAAGGTATCAGTTAATTTAGCGATTAAGTGCGCGGGTCACAAGCTCACCGGAAGCTCTCGCTCACAGTGCGAATCGATGGAGTCAAAACTCGAATATCAGCGATACGCTACTCGACCACGTAAATACAAACGAAAAGCTCGTCGTGCGCCTCCTTCAACCCCCGTGTTTATTTAGTCTCGCGTCGTCTTCCTGTGCGTCTTCTCGTTTCAGCGATTCTGCAGAATCTTTCGGTCGGCCAATTTCGAAAGTCACTTCGAGACCATTCGGGTTAATAAGTACGAAAGGTAGTGTCAAAACGGTCCGGCTGTTGCAACGGGAAACTTGAGATTTAACGTAACCACGGATAATGGAGACATGATGTGTACTTTAATTCCCGTCGGAATCACAAAGGATATCGGATTCCGTCGGAATCAAAAGGGGCAAATTCGTCGTCAGTTAACCATATAAAGCGCGATCGAACGTGAACTTTTCATTGGTATTTCGGTATCGATTTAACCGGCTCCCGTAAAGACGGACAACTCGTCTATGTCTACACGGCACTCGTCTCGGTTAAAAAGTGAACAGTCACAAGTGATCGAGGCATTACATTGCATGGTCGTAAAGAAAGAGTTCATTCCCGCGTGAATGTCACTTGTACTATGGGCCTTCGTGATCCATGACCGATGGTGATCATAGTAATGGTAATAGTCATGAGAACAAGTGGGTTCGAGCAAAAAGGTAACGTTCATAATAATAATAATAATAATAATAATAATAATAATAATAATAATAATAATAATGATAATAATAATAATAATAATCGTGGCAAGTCGTAATGCGGTAGTAGTTTCAGCCCGCATGCTGGGCAATCGTCAGGCAAAGGACGCATGCAACTGATACTCTCATTAAGTCCTCATCAAATTGCCAAAAGACCGAATTTCGGGAGACCCTTCTCCGAGATGCACACGCAAAGGGTTAATGAGTGGAGAAGGAAAGGATCGAAGGTGACCCCTCGATATATCTCACGAATGAATGTATACGAATGAAATCAAACGTGATCCAAATGTTCAGGAAAGATCTCACTCGCACTAAAGGACGCGTGAAATAGTTACATTCGATAGATCAAAGTTCCCAGAGCCAGAATTCGTTCGGAAAATCTACGGTTTTTATTTCTTTTCTTTATTATACTAATTATCGGCACGATAAAAGAAATTCTTACGGATGTTCCACTAATCCAACCACATTAAACCTAACCCCCGTCCCTCCTCCCAGGCGCATACAAACACAGCCCTCTTTCTCACAAACACATAAACACATAACCCTCTTTAACCACTCTCTTCCAAACAAACGTACGCCTTCTGTTTCGCCGGATGCGTTTCTGTGGTAATTTCACCTTTCATCTGACTTTATGTAACTTATCCAAGTCCCTCCACCCCTCGCTCACGTTTGCTTACATCTTCCCTTACACAAGCAAAACACTTCCCCTTCCCACGCTCCTTCCCCTCCCTCGCCCCCCTACAAAAACTTTCAAAGATGCGGTAGCTCCATATATCATTCGAATTCGTATAAATATATACCATGTTCTTGTTCAATTTTCAAGATGTTCTCCAAACATCACGAACTTTTTAATAGCTTTATCGTATCCAGGAAGTTAAAATCTAAGGAAAAAAACACTATTCCTTTCACTTACATCTTTTTGGGACATAATTGGCTCTTTTTTCACATCCTCCTTTGGTTCTCGTCGATCAAGTTTTCAAATATGTGACATCTTCTTCATTCAACCAATCCTTTCTCTCCGGACATTATCGTCCTTTCTTTTTGTTTGTTCAGAGAAGGACTCACGACATTAGTACGTCGCGTCTCGAGCGAGATTGACCTATTAGTTCCGACGAGATGAAGCTCGTCATTCGTGAATAATAAGTATTATTCAGCGCCACGGTTAGTCATCGATTCCTCTTTCGCAAACTCGACCGCAATCGTGCAAAAGGCAAACGTCGCACAGTCTTGCAAACAATATTGACCATCTATAGTATGAGTTCAACAAACTATGTCGTGTAGGTCATCGGAAGTGGAATAGAGCCAAACGTCTCGCGCGATCACGCATGTTTCGCGGCGAAGTCACAGTTTCAAATCTCCGGTGATGATCCTTCAACATTTTCCGCGCTTTTTCGCGCGCGACGCCTCATTTACGGTTATTGATTTACACAGGGGAAAGAGAAGGCGATCGAGGCCTCCTTCTGGGTCGCGTCGCATCGAAAATTCCTCTGCGGAGCGGCGATAGTGCTTCGATCGGACGAAAGGAGAAGGCATTCCGCCCGAGAAAATCATCGACGCACGATGAGTGAATTCTGATGTTCCGAAAGTGTCCGGGGAGAAAATGTCAGATCTGAATGACTCTCTAAGTCTGGGAACGCGTGTGCAGATCATCCGTGTTCCCGACGGTAAACAAACCGAGGGCGCTCTTTCTCGTAAAACGCGCAGCTCGGGCGAATTCCGTCTCGCGTGTGTAATCTTAAACGAGCCGATGCTTTCGAACGTCCAAACGTCTCGAGAGCCGTGCGCCGCAAGGTGCATACTGTGCGGGAAAAACAATGCTCGCCGGGGCGAAATGCGACTTTTTACGAGCGTCGAAATTGGTACCGTCGATGATCCGAGCCGCGCTAATTTTACACATTCGTACGTCCGCACGAAGTGCCGCGTAAGCCGCTTCGAATAATGGCTCCGGGAAATTCGAGAACAACTTACAGGGTGTTCCGCGAGTATCTCGGCGTGCGCGGCGTTCGCCTTGACGGGAAACTCGGTCGGTCTTCACTCTGCCGACCGCGAATTTTGCTCGACCGAAAGTATCGAATTGGAAGTCGAATTGGACTCTCTGATTGGAGAGTCTCATCGATCGACAGAATCGACGGCAATTCACGCATCCTGTAGACGAGAAAGCGGGGGTGTACGGGGGAATGATGTAGCGTGAAGTGGAGCGTGAGATGCAGCGAGCTTACGTTTATCGAAATGCTAATGAAACGTATAATTGTAGGCCACGCAATCGAAGAGTGATGATGTGGACCGGCCGGATTCTCGTCCGCGATCTTCGATATTCGAGGTCTCCCGATTGAGCGCGTTTTATGGAGAAAAGTTCCCACGAAATATTGCTGAAAGCTTCACTTCAAAGATACAGGATATTAAAAATTCTATAAAATTATCGTGCTTTTATCGCCGCGAAATTCTCTCGCGTGTGGGGCGAGAAAACATCCGGTCTCGCCTTAACGTGCTCATCGATGATTTAAGACACGCCCGAAAATACGTAATCAATACGAAGTAACAAAATATGAAGTAACAAAAACGTGCTTCGAGCAAGACGTGCGGATCAAAAAGAAAAGATGAAGAAAATGGGAAAGAGAGAGAAAGAGTGAGAAGGGGGGAGGGGGGAAGATTACGCCGACAACGTCGATCGATCTTGGTTTTATCCGGTACAACCCTGAATAAGGATTATACCACTTTTTTCTTTTATAATACACGTGCCATTTCTCCGGGATTTTCTCGGTCAAATCAACTCGAGAGACGTCACGTCGTTCCTCTGATATCAACGCTCTCGAGAACGCAGCGGATCGTTCGATCTGTCGCCGGCGCAATCCCGCAGGGGTGTGCGTGAGTCTCGATCGGGAAGAAACAAACGAGAAGGGTGGGAGGAAGAACGAAAGAGGCCGAGGGAGTTGCGTGTGTGTTCGTAAGATCTCTCATCCGGCGACGACCTCGAGAGGCGGTCGGCGTTTTTTGCGGGCATTAACTAGAGTCTTAAGTGAAAATGAGTACATCATACGTCATGTCACCATAGCCCACGGTCGTCATCGTGACAACGGCCCACCAGAACGCGTCCGGAATAGACTTGAAGAACGAATTCTCGGAGCCGGCCTCCGCGAAGTATACCGCCGACGAGAATAGCACCACACCTGCAATGCAAGGAAGAAAACACCGGTTCAGTGGGTTTAACGCCCCCGGTGGCTCTGTACCTCATGTCGCCGTAGCCCACGGTCGTCATCGTGACCACCGCCCACCAGAACGCGTCCGGTATCGATTTGAAGAAGCTGTCCTGCGTGCCGGCCTCCGCGAAGTAGACCGCCGACGAGAACAGCACCACACCTGTAACGCACACAAGAGGAAGGCACGGGTCAAGACGGTCGTACGTCATCGTCCGCGCGACGTATCCACGTATCGTCGGTCCCCCGACTACCGCCTACTAGGATCGTCTCTCTCATCGCACCAGAACCGACCATCGCCCTCGACCACCACCCCCACCCTCCCCCCGGCCGGCCGATCGATCGCCCGCTCGCCACCCGGAACGTCCACGTGTCGCGGACACGTTGTTTCCAGGATCGATCAGGATCGCTACGATGACCAAACGGTGAACGACGGCTGATCCACCGTGTCCACCGAGGGGCCCAGTTGTCGCCATTCACGCGTCTCAGTGACCCTGCGACGACCTGAAACGTCCACGTGCGGTGTACTCTGTCGATCTGAAGATCAGCGGAATCATCTCCGGGCTCGGCAACATCGACTGCTCCCACCGATCGGCTTTCTAACGGTGAGGGAAAAATGTCGCAGGGCTCGCTATTGTTGTTCCCCGTCGTTGTTGGCCGCACGGTGCCAATAGTGAGAACTCTCCCGCGCAACGAGGGCTCCGTCCGTCGAATGGCAGGCCTTATCTTTCGGAGGCTTGTGGAAATTAAACGTGAGAGGGTGGACTTGCACAGTAGGATCCCACTCGGGCGAGCGATTCTCAGGGATACAACTGTTTCGGCATGATTGTTTATAAGATGGCGTTGCGAGCTCTCGATCAGTGTTATCCGACTGTGCAATATCTCCCCCTTGATCTGCGTGTGTCGCCGTTCAACTTACAACCCTCGAACGACCCCGTCCAGCGACACGAACGTACACGGCGTGACTGATCAATCGTAAAGACGTTTGATAAAGTCTAACAAAGCAATAACAAGGATGTGACTTGAGAACGTTTCCGCCCGACGCAGCATCAGTCGAGAGTTATAACCGATACAGCGAGAACACACGATCGTCACGTAACAACAAATCTGATTAAAGTAAGAAATACACTTGGTAAGACAAAACAGTAGGATAAAGTAAGACACAGTTGTCGTTGCCCTCAAGTCTCGTTTCAAGCGGCAGAAATGTAGGAAACGTAGAGAAACGTTATTCACGTGCTAATTCTTCACTTTTTTCGCGTCCCATTTCCGTCCCTTGTAGCTGGGCTCCTTTCCAAAACCATCGTGCCGCGAACGATCGACGATAGGGAGATTTCGAGAGTTTCCGACCGCTCGACGAGACAAACGACGTCATAAATCCCGTTCGCTCGTTCCCTTCCACGGTGACAAGTATCCGCGCGGAGAAAGAGATGATGATTACCGAGCGCCGGAGTATTCCCGAAAACGATATTTCGAATATCTCGCCGGGGTCGGCGAGGAGGAAAACATCCGGAAAATTGCTGATTCAAAAGCGACTTCTCCCCGTGAAAACAACCGATGGTTTATCCTCTGATATCGGCAAATCGCGCGCGATAGTCGACTCATTCCCCAACCTCGCGAGGGGTGAAATAGATGAGCATTTCCACGTCGGCTTTCGCTCATTTAGCTTTGTCGCACGGTGCTTTACACGCCGAGTAGCTTCCGACGCTTCGTAAAAAAGATCTGCCGGGAGATTTTCACCTCTCACTGCTGTGAGAATTCCCGCGCGCGAAGATCACGCATCGGGGCGAAGGCACGGTGTGATAGATCGTTAAATTCCGCGCGGCCCGGAATTGGGATACTTCCAACATGCGGGAGGAAGAAAGAGAGAGAAATCGAGAGAAACGAAAGCGCGTACTCGCGTATTCAAGAATCCGAAGATACCATAAATTTTGCAGACGGTAAAACATATTTCCAGCCGGCCGCGACGATCAACGGCCATGATAATTCCAAGGCCCTCCACGACGGAACAATTTCAAACTCGGGCGATTTACATACGATGTGTGTTACATAATGCAACACGAAGCGGCGAAAGCTCAAGCTCCGCAGCACCGATTTATTTCGTTCTTATCTAAATCATACAAATATGTATCTCACATCGGCATACCTAAAACTGATCGTTTATCTGATGTAAAAAAAAGGAAAAAAATTAGCTAGATGGAAAGTTAACTTTCTTATCTATATCTAAGAAGAAATATAAGTTTGTCTTCTTCGATCTATCTAAATAAGCAACCACAATCGTATAGTATCGTATCTTATCCTAGTAGTATCTATCCTAATACCGGCTGAAGGGGAACACCTGAAGGTAGCATGAATTGTTTACAAGCATCATGAAAACATATATATCTACATACATAATAAGAATAATCGATAAATCATCATTATACTATCCCTAATCTTTCGATGAAGGACATTATCGAACTCACCGATGAAGAGGAAAAAGATGAGCAGGCCGAGTTCCCTCATGGAGGCCTTGAGAGTCCGCCCAAGGATCTGGAGGCCTTTACTGTGCCTGGACAGCTTGAATATCCGGAACACTCTGACCAGCCTGATCACCCTGAGTATTGCCAGGGACATCGCCTGGTTCGTGCTCTTGTCCTGCGGGCTTACCGGCGCCTTGGGTAGGTTCAACGTGTCCTCCTCCTCGGCCACCACCGTAGCGAGGGTGATGAAGTACGGAATGATCGCGATGATGTCAATGATGTTCATTACGTCACGGAAGAAGTTGAATTTGTTTGGGCAGGCGAGGAAGCGCACCGATAACTCGAACGTGAACCAGATGATACAAATAGTCTCTATTAGGAAGAACGGGTCCGTGATGTCCGGCACTTCGTCCTCCTCGATTTTCGTGCCGTTCGTCGTCGTGTTGAAGACCTTGTAGTGCTTGAACTCGGGCAGCGTCTCCAGGCAGAAGATCACGATCGACAGGAGAATCACGAACACAGAGATTATAGCAACCACCCGGGCGCCCTGCGAGCTTTCCGGGTACTCGAACAATAGCCAGACCTTCCTCTGGAACTCGTGCGTCGGCAACGGCTTCTCCTCCTCCTTGATGAAGCCCTCGTCCTCCCTGTTTCAGAGCAGTCGGTCGCTTCGTTATAATCCGGCGCTACACTTTTCTTTAAATCTTCTACACGCGTGTCTCGCGGTGCGTGACGTGTGTTCGCAGGGTTTCTCTCCTTGAGAGATGCGCTTCTACGGGAACGAAAGGGACGGGGGAAGCGGCGTGTTTGGACCCGAAGAAACGAGGAATCGCGATGAGGAACGTTTGGAGACGAGGCCGCTCTAAATTCATCCAGGTATCTATAATGTGTGTCACTGAGATTTCGTACTCGGGATATTCCGCCGAGCCGACTAATCTCGACACGTTTGCACCGAGTGTTGTGACGTATCGACGGATAACGTGGCTAAGGATAACGCCATCTATTCGTACCTGAACTTATTGGTAGCCATCTCGCCCAGCTCGTAGAACTTGATCTCCTCGGAGAAGACATCGAGCGGGACGTTGACAGGGCGGCGTAGGCGGCCGCCGCTCTGATAGTAGTAGAGTATGGCATCGAAGGAAGGTCGGTTCCGATCGAAGAAATATTCGTTGCGTAGCGGATCGAAGTATCGAAGCCGCCGTGTCGGATCGCCGAGCAGCGTGTCCGGAAACTGGTTTAACGTACGCAGCTGTGTCTCAAACCGTAGCCCGCTCACCTGTCGATCATAGCAATCGATTATTGATTGACGGTGGCGCCGCGCGCTCTACCAGGGCGGGGCGCGCTGCTCGACCGGCTAATTGGGGTGGAGATGATTGTAGGGCTGCTCTCCTCACAAAGGGACTAACGTATTACAGGGGATTATCGTGTCGATCGAGTGGACCACTGAATCCACCGAACGTTGTTAACTTATGCCGAGTGCCGCGGCAATTTCAACCTTTTCGCGACTCGGCGTATCGGGAAAAAATCCCCTCCCCCTCCGAGTCCGGAGATTGATTGTATCGACGGACCCGCGAGGCGATTCGCGGAACAGCGGTGAGGATGTATGGAGCTGGATGCGCGAGAATGTGCAATTGGCGGAGTATGTTGAATCGAGAATCTCGTTACTGAGAAACAGCAGGATACGGAATTTGCCGAAAAGAAGGATCGAACTCCAACCAACTCCGGCGAAATTCGCCCGGCATCGCTTCGGGCGAATCGCAGTCTTTCCGCTGCCAAAGTAAACGATAGGACTAATTTCCACTTGGTGCGATCGAGGCGTCACGGTTTAACGTATTTTCACGAGAAGCACGTCGACTCTCGACGCCTTTTCACCCCGGTAATAGCGACGACTCGATTAACGATGTCGTGGAAACGAAACGCACGAGCCTTCATTCTCGGCGAAACGATAAAGAAAATAAAAACGAGTGAGCGAGGAGAGAGTGAGAAAAATGCGGAGATGGGACAAGAATGAAAGCGGGAAGCATAATTTCCAGCGAGGAAATATATTGTCCACTCTCTCTCTCTCTCTCTCTCTCTCTCTCACTTTTGAGGAATCATATCTGGAATTAGGCTCGAGAGTTAACGGGCAAGAAAAGAGTGTCCGCGCAATTGATCGGTCACAAAAAAGGAATGACGTGCCACCGAAAGTCAAAGGCTCCTCCGCCTCCCCCTCCCGTCGTGTAGTGTCCTTTCCTCACCATACGCAGTCCCCGAAATCCGTTGAAAACGAGATCGAGATCGAACACGCTCGATCCTCGATCGCGTCTCGACGCTCTCTCCAACGTTTCGCCTTTAACCGGCCAGGCATACATATTAAATCTCCGATTGTGCGCGGCGTGGCACGTCGATTCCGCGATACCCACACACTCCGCCCACGCGTTCAGGCGGCGTGCTTTGACCCCTGCCAAATATTCGAGCCTACCGATGGCGAGGGGCGAGATGGGAAAAAAGGGGGTGAAAATACGATCGATCGGACCGATCGCTGTAATTGGCGCAATGCAGTCGTGTCATCCGTGAGGATAGATAATTCCGTTCACACAATACGACCTTGGCGCTACATCGCCCTCGATTCCAAGACGAACTTGGATGGCCGCCAAAACGCGGCCTGTAGGTCACTTCTCGTGTCTTGAGATAATCTCGCCTCGTCAAAAAGAAGAGAGCGACTACCAAGCCGGACTGGAGTTTGCTCGCGCGCGCGAACGCAAAGCACGGGGTAATCCCGGACACGCCTGAGCCCCGCCGGAGAAGAAGCGTCAGGTCGGGCGTGCGAAAATCGAATGGCGATATTTATGCAGAAGATTATACTTCGGGATAATAATATTTCACCGTCTCTCCTTTTCCCTCCACCTGCCCCTCCTTGGAACGCGTCGAGACGGCGGCGAGATTCGCGAGATTAAGGACTCGCGACGCCCAAGATTCTACAGAGGCGAAACTTTTCGAGGACCGGGGAGATCCTACGTTCCAAGGATCCCCGCGACGCCGGGGATCGCGAGGAGCCGAGATTCTTCGTCGGGCGCGCTTCTCCCGGGAATGTTTTAATCGGAATAATACAAAACGAGAGAAGAGATATCCGTTCTCGGAAGGACGCACGATCGCATGCGCGCCGAAGCTCGACGATCGTTCGGGATCGTTTTCTCTCCGGCCGAGATAGAGACTGGGGAGCGGCAGCAGATGAGCGGAATAATAATTCGGGGATTCACACGGAATCGGCGGTGGTGTAACAGTGAAAATTCACACTCACGTTGATGACGACCCTCTCGCAAAAGTCATGATCGTGCGGTATGGGCTCGAAGTGCGTGACTCCTGTGTATTGGGTGTGGGGATTCGTCCCATCCTCGTCCTGGCTGCTGAGTTTCGGCAGCGATCTGTAATAATCAAAATTGCCACGTCATTAGTAGTTCCTCGGGCTGCGTGCCGTGGGGGTTTCCAATCGCGTATGTCGTCCCGATAGTGTCTCGCGCGAGTCACACACACGCACGATGCGGCTTCGCGAAGATTCGAAGAAGGAGATTCACAGATTACGCGCTAGATCAAGAGTAAGAAATGGTTGAAGAAGAAGAAGAAGAGGAAGAAGTTGGCGCGTGTCGGTGGTCTAAGCTTGACGAGTTTGCGCAATACGTCGAAACTATGGCGAAGGGAAGAAAGGGATCGTCGCTAACGCGGCATGGCAGAATCTCACTCGTCGGAATTCTCCGCGGTGGTTTACACCGACGGGCGTGGATGTTTCGCGTGTCTCACAACCAGTGTTTGCCTTAGACGATTTCAGCTGAGAAGAACGCACCACGGGAGACAAAACCGAAATCTGTGGATTCGTCGAAATCCAATTTCCAATCCCTACGCTGATACCGCGCGTTCAACGCATAGGTCCGTATTATTTCATTCATTTGATCGAAAAGTGGACTCGGGAACATCGTTTCAGATCGTTTTCCGACGAGACAGCATGCTTTTCTATCTAAGACGAAGATGAAATACACTTCGTATTTCTTTCATCCAAAATCAGGATAAAGGTGACCTATTTACTCGTCCGGACGATTATTTAGATCATTTTATTCAGACGCCGGCAAACACTGCTCACAACACACGAGAGATGCTCGCGACAGCCGTCCTTCTGCGCTACGTTAGGTAAGTAGGCTTTCGGTTTACCAGAAAGTGGTCCGCAGTCCGTCGTATTAATAGACTATCAGATGGGTGCGCGCGTGGCCAAACGCGTCTACCAAACTATTCAGACACTCTCGACGGTTCTACTGACTAAATCAAAATAAAAAAAAACACACACACACACGATGCATATGAAAATCTACTACGGTGGTGGTCTCTACGTGTCAATGTATCTATCTACTCGTTATTCAGCCCTCTCCTCTACCGATGCGTACCGGCTGTGTATCGATGCTGTGCTGGACGATCGAGCGCGCGCTCTTCGCTCTCGATAATGCTAACGGATCGGAAATATGCGATTCGACCGGAGAGCACCGACAATCGGGAATTACGCCGGCAGCCTGCCAGGCGCGTTAATTAATTCTCCCGAGCGAGCGATCAAAACGGCGGGATTGAGAATTTTCAGCGGTTCCGAGCGTCCTTGGAGACGATTCTACGCCACGGAAGCGAGATGTGAAATATAGTAAATTATCAGTCACCTTCCGCCATCTCCCTTCCGATATATATTTATATACAGATGACTGTATACAAATAAGAGTCACCCGCTCTCCCCCCTCCCAATGTTCACCCTATCCCGATGAAATCAGGAATAATCAAAGCGATTTCGAGTAATCGCTTGTAATCAGCGCGTTGAGACTTTGACGGCGTATTTCGGGGTTGAGAATCAGAACGTTGCCATCCCCGCACGGACTCGAAGGTCAATCCCACTTGAATGCCCTCGAGGTGCGGTTTTCGTCTCATAAAAATTCATTCGGCCCGAACAGCCCCCCACGACGGCGATTTTGCGGCGGTAAGTTGTTGTTAATATGCTAATACTTAATTTCACCAAGGGGCCACCCCGGAAAGTCACCGTCAGTGAATCGGAGGCACGTTCGCGATGTTGCACGCTCGATAATGTCGAGGACAGTGGCTTTAGCGACCGCGGAATATACGTAACCGTCCTCTCCGATAGGTACAGGAGGAATAAGCGCAATACCGAACTAGTAGAAAACTTGTAGAAATGGATGGAGTCGTCGCAGAATCGCACATCTGGTCTTCACTTGTCCGGCTGTTTTCGCAAAAGCGCAGAAGAAAGGCCACGCAACGAGGTTCTGACAACGAACGGCATTCCGGATCCTGCTCCGAGAAGCGATCGGCAAGATCGCGTGTTCTCGCTTCTCGGCGTTCCCAGGATCATTTCCAGACGAGCGATCCGGTACGGCGAGGTAAGAACGATAAAGGTCGTCCACAGTTAGCGAGGAAGACTTTACGAGTCGCCGAATTTAGAAGCGAGGATGCACCCAGTCGATATATCCGGCGGGAATTACGTCGCTCGACGATTTATTTCGGGACGTCAATGGGAGGTCGATGCGGCGGGGGCAAACATCAATTTCGAAGTCCGTGCACCTCCAGACCGGCGACGATGGAAATAGCGTGACGTCTTGCGGAAATAGCGACTAATGCGGTACGACGACTGCCGGTGCCGCGGCACGTGCCACCTTGAAGAATTTCACGTGCGGCAGGTAGGTCTACGACGAGGTGCTCGCGACGTCTCGATGGTATCTTGCGAACGGGGGTATAGCGTAAGCGGGAAGAGCAGCGCCACGCCCGAAGTAGGAAATAAACTGGCGGGGTGCCGATGTTTTTTATGGAAATTTTTGAACGTCGAAGTGTTGTACTATGTCAAGATTTGATACTGTTAGAATACCAGATTGGTAGCGATGGGCCAATACTCGAGAAAGACGGTATTGCAATTGTACCGATTCCCAATATTACACAAGTTACCAAGAATCATCAATTCCCAGTAATAAGATGTGATAATAAGTGTTGACTTTGGGGGTGGATTACCTTTTGGGATCGAATGGAGTGGACAGAAATCTCATTGTACATATTTCGAAAGCACGTGAATGCAGAAAGACAAAGATAGAGAGAGGCTAGGTTATTTTTAATCATAATTATTGCGTTATTTCCGCCAAAAACATGAAATATTCATTAGATTGCGTATTACAGTGATTTATGACATAGCTGTGACATTGTGCGAAAGAAGCGCGAGAGAAAGAGAGAAGAAGAGGCGATAATAATTACATTGCCGTATGAAACGCAATTGTTGTTACCACCGTTAAATATCGACGATTATTTAATGACGGCGCGTTGTTGTGTATCATTTGCAAGCGCGTGACGTACATTGCGTGAAATAATCTACAATCCCGAAGAATTGAAACAGGGAGCCAGATTATGACTCGAAAAAATTAGTCCTTCGATAATGTCTCCGACAATGTGGGATACGCGACTACATTTCGCGCTACATTTCGACGTTTCGACAAGCGTGCACAACGCATAAGCTATATGTTACGCGCATAAATTATTCCACCTGCAATTAATCATAAATCTCAAATTGCCGTCATCGTCGAATCAACGCTAGCGAGCACAACGCGCGGAGGAATTCCTTCCCGCGAATTTCAACATTCTCTTTCGTCCTCGCGGAAGGAGGGATTCCACACACACAAGCAATAAATTTAAATTATCGACATCCGGTGATATTCCTGGATATTCGTATCACTTTTTCACAGCGTCGACCGTGCTCTTTTACGAAATTTAATATTACCGAAGTTCCCTCGCCGTTCCACCACCCTTCGCGCAATTTTAGAATCTTTGTCTTTTTTTCAGACGAATTTGCTTGAAAGCGGATAACAAGCTTAAATCACCGATACCCATTAATGCCGAGTGATGTAAAGCCTGATACCTATTAAAGGCGGCTGCCCGTCAGGGGAGAAGCGCGAAAGGTGTCGACCTCTAATTGGTAACGTGAATCTGACCTAGTGATTATCTTCAACTGAGAAGCAATCCCGTTTATATAGCGCCAATGTCCGAGCGCTTCCAAAGTGGTAAAGAGCTAAGAAGAGAGGTATAAGCGACAAAAAGAGGCGAGACAGAAATTTGCCGTGAGGAGAGGAGGAAAGTAGCATCAAAATTTCGGCTAAGATGGCATCTTGATCATTTTATACGAAGCTGTCATGGATATTCACATCTTCCAATAACGCCGGTGAAAAAGATTGCTTAATGCATTAAGGTCTGTATCGAGTTATGAAAAAGTTTACTTTAAAGAGAAAGAGAGATACTCTTCAATCATACGGCCTACTAAATTTAATATAAAACGAAAAAAAGCGAAAGAAATAATTCGCTGGGAATATTATTCACGACAATCCGATCTTCAAAGTCTAACAGAATTATTTAATCCAGGTGCGATTATTGCCCTCGAGCAGTTTTGTCTCTCCTGTCAACAAACAGGGAAATCGGGAGCCCTAAATATTTGCTAAGCTCTCACGTCCCTCACTCCCCTTTACGCGAAGCGTCACTCTTCCTATTTTTACGTCACCATTCGTATCTCGGCATAATCAGACTGATCCATATTTAGAGACGAGATTGACGACGAGGAAGACGAAGAGCTGACTGCGCACGAATCCTTAAGGAGAAACTTACGTAGCCCGAATCCTTAGAAAGAAATGGACTCAAAGTTCCAACGTCACCCTTATATAACCATAACTCGGGTTCGAGGGAAAACAATCTTCCTTCTAGAAATATAATTTCTCATCTCGTCGAAGTACAGAATTCCTCGAGTAGAAGTCGAATAAACGAAGTCACGGAAAAGTGGAAGACGTTATTTCTATCTATGTAAAATTATTGTTGGGAATATAATCGTCTGAACAAAAAATGTTTCTGAGAAATAACCAGAAGGTTATCCTGTGTTCACGGCAAGGCCCGAAAGATGCAAAGTTCAAGAAGAATTGCGACTCTATCGAAACATTTTTCACTTTGTCATTTTTTTTCTTCCAAAATAAAGTAAGGCATATTAAGCAAAACGAAATGACGCGATCGGGGCTGTGTTAAGTCTCAATGTTGACCTTTCGCGGCCCTGACTCCGTCATTAATTTAAAACTTCCTCGAAAGGCCTGGACCACCCCATCATGCTACTTTCCGTTCTTTAATGTGTCATTTACATTTTTTTTCGTTGCATCGAGTGCTCCAATGAATAACAAAAAGCCACTGCAGAGCGATGTGGCTGTTTCTGACGATCTCTATGCGATTACGTAAAACAAAGACGTGTAAAAGGAGCAAATACCGATAACCAATAACGGCGAGTATCGGTAGCGCCCACTTGGCGGAATGATTTCAAGATAGCGTTTGTTATAATACTATAATAAATAATGCTATGTACCAACGAGTACTTTCC